ATTTTTCGTATTTGTAAAGTAAGAATGATAATGCTACCACTTTATAGAATTGTTGTGAAAAGTAAATGAAATCATCTCTGTACTTAACACGGTGCCTGGTATATATATAGTTGCCACAGAGTTGGTTCTGACTCCATGTGTACAGAGTAGAATTACTCCTTAGGATTTTCAAGGCTGTGACCGTTTGGAAGCAGACCTCCAAGTCTGTCTTCCAGGGTGCCTCTGGGCAGGTGCACACTGCCGACCTTTCAGCTAGTAGCTGAGTGTGGAACTGTTTGTGCCACCAAGGACTCCATTGCTATAGTAAGCTCTCAAAAATGAACTGCTGTTAGCATTAGATCACTTGCTAGCATCAAGCAGAGTATGGGAAGTTCTGCAGGATTATCCTTATGCAGCTTGGGCTTTATTGAGACTTGTCTGTTGCACATCAAAGGTTAGAAAGACCCTCCCCTAACAGGAGCTCTGGTAGCGTAGTGGTTATGAACAGGGCTGCGAACCGCAGGGTCAGCAGTTCGAAACTACCAGCTGTTCCACGGGAGAAAGATGAAGCTTTCTGCTCCCGTAAAGATTTACAGCCTTGAAAACTCTGTACAGGGTTGCTATGAGTCAGAACCGGCTCCTTGGCACATAACAACAACAAAACAGAGTCTGTCCCTCAGGACTTCATCTGAAGTTGTTTTGAACCACAAATGTTGCTGGTTCTCCCCTTCAGCCACATTCAAGGAGCCTTCAAAAAGGTTGTGGAAAATGGAATTAAAAGATAACGGAACTTTTTTTTTAAGCCCCCTCACATTAAACCTTTCATCAACCAAGTCCACCTCCAAATAACATACCACCCCCTCTGGAAAGAATCATTTCCTGTTTAAATATCATCAACCAGTTAAACACTGTGGTGGGTTTCCCACCCCACCCCACCTCACCCCCTCGTAATTCTAGGCTTCAGTAAAAAATTAAAGCCCACATTAAGAGACATTTAAAAATCATTCTTTTGACAGAGAAAACCATGTCAAAAGTCATTCTTGCTATTTGTATTATTTTTTTTAAGTTTTATGTGTTACTCTTTAATCTCGTTGGTAAACCTTCTTAATAGGTTGGGGCTTTGATCTTAAATCCTAATGCGGCTTTGCAGAAATGGGAGGTGACAATGTTGACAGGTTTGTCTGTAGCTATTCTACTGTCATTAATTAAACACACAGACACACACTCTTTACTTACACTGCCCACCCCTACCTCCCCAGTAAATGAATTGAACTTACTTTGATTTTTGATGGGAAGCAATGACAGGGGCCAGAAAAACATCAAAGTAATACTCTTAGTTGACTTCACCTTAATATTAAAGAGGTCTCAGTTCCTTTTCGGTAAAGCATTAATTCAGCTTTATGATAAAAAAGTTGTGGGTATCAATAATAATCTTCCCCTCTCCGCAGTCCATCAAATCCCAGAGGGTGACACTTACTTGTATTTCAAATCTAAAGGTTTCCTTTGTAACATTGTGTATATAATTTTTAAAAAAATGTGTTTTCATACTGCTTGCACATACAAGATCTTAGCTTAAAAATGTAAAAAGTTTAAGATTTTTGGGGTTTCATTTGTATTTTAAATTGGCTGGTCAGGCATGACATTTGAAGGAGCAGAGGAAGCTGGGAGAGGCAGAAGGAGCAAGGATTGGGAGCTCCTGAGGCAGGCGCACGCCTGGAGAAAGAGCAGCAGGGAGGCCAGTGAGGCTGACAGAGCGGGTGAGTGAGGGGAGAATGAAGGACACGTGGTCAGAGAGATCCTAGGACAGACTGGTTAGGACATTTTCTTACAGTTCGATGGGAGCCATTGGAGGGTTTTTGAGCCCAACCATGACATCTGATTCAGTTGACAGGATCACCTTGGCTGCTGAACAGAAGATAAATGGCTGCTATATTCATCTAGGCCAAAGGCGGTGGTAGTTTGAGCCAGGGCGTTAGCAGTGGAAGTGGTGATAGATGTTTGGACTCAGGGTGTGTTGTAAAGGTAAAGCCTAAGATTCTCTTGATGGGTTGGAGTGTTAGGAGTCAGGGATGTTTGCAAGGTGTGAGCCTGAGTAACTGACCGTGTGTGCTATGCCACACCTTCTTTGATCCGTACTAGTCTCCAAATTATTATCAATCACTCCAGTCCTGAGTGTGAACTTGTAGACTACTGTGGTAGCTGGGAGAAATACATGTGTGGTCTTCTGAGATATTGCAGATGATACAAGGTTAATTAATGAGCAAGAACTTGGCTTAACAACATAAGTCACTTAGTCTTTGTTTATACCATCTGATTTACACCCAGTGGAGGCATCCAGACCAGCATCCCAGCTCTGAATCTGAAAAATACAGAATAAGAATTGAGAGTAAGAAAATTGGTAAATTTTTAATAAAAATATGTTTGAAAAGAAAAATCCCAGAAACAGTAAAATGCCTATTTTTCCCTTGTGAGGGTTTCTTGTTTTTGTTTTGTTTGCTTTCATTTCTCTCTCTGTTTGGCAGATTGTACTTGAAAGATAAAAATGCAATATTTCTGGAATGACCAGAGAAAGAATTAATAAACTTACTGGAAATGTGAAGGAAACAGAGGAGATAATGTCTACATTCCACATTGAGTCTTTAAGGGCTGGTCAAAGGAGAGTTCATGGTCACTCGGGTCAGATAGGTGGAGGGTGCAGTTTGTTGCTGTCCAATAGCCTCACTCTTCACTGGACAGTTGACACAATCTTTCCTATTTAATCAATCACTAACTAAGCCTGGCATGAGAGAACATCAGGATATAATTTGCAATGATGGTGGCCCAGGGTAGAGCCCAACAATCCCACTCTGTTTATTTATTAAGGTTCTCATTTCCCATCCCTGTCTTGTTCATGTGGGGCTGAGTAATCCTTAATTTGACCACGTTCTTATCTCAGGAGGAGCAAAGGGTAGTCCTGGAAGCTCTCTAAATAGCAGGTGTAGGACAGGGTGAAGAACTGGAAGGGCTGAGGCCAGTGGAAAATATATTTGGTAGGCCAAGAAATCCATAAGGTTGATGAGTTAGAGAAAGAAGCAGGTGGGTAAGGAGGGGCTGATGCCTAAGGGCTCAGACTGGAATCTACTGAGACAGGGTGGTTGGGAAGACCAGATGGACTGGCATTCATTCAAACCAGATGGTGGGCTTTTATTTTTAAAAGGATTTGTGAATCCTAGGAACAAGGAACCATAAGGAGAGTGGGGCCTTTAATCCCATTAGTAGAAGACAAAAGCAGACTCTTTAAAAATGTAAACTTACTAATTATAGCACTTTTATTGTCAATGCTTTGGAACAGACTACTGGTTTGTGAAACTCCAAGCAGTTAACAGGGCTCATGGATGAGAGGAGAAACTGCGGAAAGTTAAAATGAGTGTACCAAATGTTAATGGCTGCATCAGTGGGCTCAAACGTGGCAACAATAGTGAGGTTGGCCCAGGATCGGGCAGCATTTTGTTCTGTGCATAAGATTGCTATGAGTCGGCTCTAACTCAATGGCACCTAACAACAACAACAACGACATGAAATAGGCTTACTCACGCCATGGAGTTGGAAGAATAACAAACAGTATAATTAGCAGTTGATCAATTATTTAGTTTGAATACATTTGAGTTTGCAGTGAGGCAAATTTGAAACTCTAAGCATCTATTGCTTTCCAAAAAATGGTACTCCTGTGCTTTTCTTCCTCAGTTGTGTCTAGACTGATTTGCCTGAATGCATCCATAGCTGCTCTCCTAGTTGCTAAGACTATAAGAACTGTAGCCTGTATTTCCATCTCAACCTGTATCTGAGGGCCAGAGTTATTTATAGGACCCTTCTCCAACAAGAGAACATACTCATCAGCACAGACTGGAGTTGTCACTTTGTGTCCATGTCACACTGTGTGACAGCCTGGGGAGGCAGCTAGTACTTCCTTAACAGAGTAGAGGAGCAGAGTGTAGGGTTTGTTGTGCTGGAGAGTTTCATGATGAATCTTCCTTCTCTACATCATGTAGCACCTGATTCTCTGGCTACAAAGAAAAGTATAATTTTTTTTCTAAAAACCAAAAAAATTTTTCAAAGAAATGTTGAATATTAAGAGAAAATTTAAAATCATGTATTTCATTGTTAAATGACTTTTCTGTGTAAGATACACAGATGTACTCATTAATTAAATATTGGTATTAGTCCCATCAGAGTCCTGAGGTAGCACTGTAGGGTAAGCTCTTGACCACAAGATCTGTTTGAACTGCAAGGTCAGTGGTTCAAACTCACCAGCTGCTCCTTGGAAACCCTATATACAGGGTCACTATTAGTCAGAACTGACTTGATGACACTTAACTTATTTTGTGGTTGAAAATGAATACAGTTGTTTCCTAACACATTGATTTTTTTTTTTTTTAATTAATACCTTATGGTCTTTAAAGTGCACGTTTACACAACAAATTAGGTTCCCAGTTAAGAACACAAATTATTCAGTGGTATTGGTTATATTTTTCATAGTATATCATCATTCTGATGCATTTTGTTCTGGTTGGATCATTTCCAATACTCTAGTTTTCCTACCCTCTTGCCTTCTCTTCTTGACTTGAGAGTAAATTTTGATCATTTCATTTCTTAGAGAGGACTTTTCTTAAAGAAACTCACTTTTCATGCTTGTTAATCCTTTTTTTTTTTAAAGAAACCAGTCTGTTATTGAGCTAAAAGATGGTCTCAAGGGATAATTTCAGTTTAACGTTTAAAGTCTATTTTATGATTGCCTTAGGAAGTCTCAACCAGTTTAGTAAGTCTGGACTTCTTAAAAGTTTGAATTCTGTTTCCTTTCTTTCCTGTTCTATAAGATTCTATCTACTGTGGCTGTGACCAGAATAGACAGTGGTGGGAGCTGGGCACCATCTAGTCCTTTTGGTCTAATGATAGATAAGGCTCTGGCTTGTATTGACTGTTAGTCCTGTAGATTAGTTTCTTCCGTTGACTACTTTTTTAATTGTTTGCTTTTATTTATTAAGATATGGAAACTTGACAAGCCCAAGCTGTGAAGAAGATGGAAACCAAACTTCATCAGAGTCCAAGACGGTGATTAGAAAGTGAGTATATATCATGTCTCTGCCTGACAGAGTCTCAACCAGAACTTAATATTTTAAGAGAATATAGTTTAATAGAGTCTTATTTACAAGTCATTCTCCAGATATCATGAAGCTTTTATGATAACAGCATACAGTAAAGTAATGTATCAACAAGTGAAGAAGAACGAAGCAGGGTAAGAGGGTTCGATCCTGATGAGGTGTATGAATCCACATGAGGGGCTAGTAGTGTGCATTGGAGCAGAGACCTAAAGCAGATGTGGGCTGAGCCTTGTGGATATTTGCAGGAAGAACATTCTAAGCACAGAGAAGCGTGCTGGAAATGGCTCTAAGGCAGAACAGTGTTTGAGAAGTAGTTGGGATGTGGATGTGGTAAACCGAGTCAGTCGGCTCTGTAGTTTATAGATTGTAGATGATTTCTACACACTAGTGAAGAGCTCAGATCAGGTGAGGTCTTCTGAAAATGTTAGCAGTGACACTGAATTTTATTCTGAAGAAGATAAGAAGCACTTACAGGATTTGGGGGAGGAGAGCAGTACTAGGGTCTGATTTAAAAGGGGTTTAAGATTGGACTGTGGCAGTGAGGGCGGGAACAGAGAAGCCAGTTGGGAAGCCTTACAGGGGTGCAAACAAGTGATGACAGTAGATGGACAAGCAGTAACAGTGTAGGTGCTCAGTGTCTGGAGCTATTATTTTGAGGGTGGTGTTGTCAGGATTTGCTGGCGGAATAAATGGGAAAGGTATGAGAGAAAAAGAGAAGGCAAAGATGCATCTAAGGTTTGTGGCTTGAGTAACTGATAGAATGGAAGGAAGCCTAGCTTTAAGAGAAAAAGATGACTAGTCAGAATTAGAGTTAAGCCCAAAACAAAAAACAATCATTCACTGTTGTATCTACAAGAGACCCATCCGCATTTCATTTCATCAGCCGCGCCTAGACAGATTGGATACTACTCAGTGGAGATTCTACCTTCCTTCATGCCCTCTGGATCTAGGGTCCCTCTTGAAAGCTTGTAAGCCCAGTCACTTCTTGCCTTTGTAGCCTTCCCCCCCCCCCCATTTTTGGTAGCCAATGTCCAAGTTGCCCATCTCTGTCTTCTCTGTGTATGGAGGGGGTAGGAATGATCCTTGCTGTAAAGATTAGTTCCCTCTTTTGAGCTACTGCATCCATAGGTGTAGGTCAAGTTCATCAAATTGTATCAGATTACTCTTTTTTTCCTCTTCTTTCTTCTTCTAGTTGAGCTCTGATCATCCAGTCATTGAAGCCAGGTCAAGTGGGTATTATCTGCAAGTGTGGGTGTTCTTGTGCATATGCCCTCTCTTCTTATCAGCTGGATGCTTCACTCTCCACTCAAGTTCTCTGTGGCTATGTCACTGACTCTCAGAGTATGTTTTATGGTCCAACAGCCTCAGCCTCACTTGGGAGCTTGTTAGGACTCTTATGCCCATTATGGGTTAGAATCTGCATTTTTAACCAGATTCCCAAGTGATTCCTATGTACTTTCAAATATGAAAAACACAGGATTAGAGGATTCTTTTTATTTAAGTTTTGTTTATTCATGAAGACTCTTAAAAGCAATTTTAAAGCGCCTTTTAGAATGTGTATTTTTAAAAACATGCAGATGAAGAGCTAGCATAATAATTTGAGTAGCCTCCTTGTCATTTGTAGCCCAATCTATCTGTTTCCAGATTTAGAAATCAACATGTTTTGAGGCCTGGTGGTGCGATCATTAAGCACTCAGCTGTTAACCTAACAGTAAGTGGTTGGAACCCATCACTGGCTCTGTGGGAGAAAGATGGCAGTCTGCTTCCATAAAGATTTACAGCCTGGGGAACCCTATGGGGGCAGTTCTACTCTCTCCTACAGGGTGACCTGACTCAGAATCTACTTCCTGGCAATGAGTTTTTTAATCAGCATATGTTGTAACTTAGTTAAATCCAGAGATGTAGTACTCAAGTAACCACCTGAACGCTCTGAGGAGAGTAAGGTTCTGAAAACTATCCAGAGCTTTGCTGTTTCCCAGGGGGTGTTTTGCAATTAAATAGGTTTTTGGGAAATAGCATTTAAGACAATGGGTTGTACCCTGGGAGTGAAAAGTTGTGTTCATTATTTTTAAAGGGCCATGATAAACCTTCATACAAATGCATAGTAAACTACGAATATTGGGTGTAACCCCAGGATGAGCTGTTTTAGAGGGAGAGCTTCCCAGTTATAAAGCCTTATTGTTGTTATGTGCTGTTGAGTCAGTTCAGACTCATAGTGCCCCTATATAGGGTTTCCTAGGAGCAACTGGTGGGTTTGAACGGCTGATGGTTGGGATTTGCAGTCCAGTGCTGGTCCTTCAGCGCCACACCAGGAGTCCTTGTAAAGCATATGAGGCATGAAAAAAGGGCTTCCCATAGAGCTCCCTAGAGGGGTCCATCATCTGGGACGATCATCCTTTCCCAAAGCCTCAGTTCTTGACCCCTTTTCCCAGACTGAATTCCCTTTTAAAAAGTATTTATCTGATGAAAATATGTCACTTTATCTTATAATGGGTTGCTCTGTTGTACAAATTCGGGAATGTCAAAACTGTCCCTGCTGACCTCTTGCTTCCTTCCACTTCTCTTTCTTCAGTCTTTCCCTTTGTTTGTTTGGTTGGTTTTTCCTTCAGTTCTGCTGTATTTTCCACCTTACTTTGTATTTTCTTTTTCTCCCTTATGCTGATCATTTCTGTGACTAGATATGATCTAGTCTTTGTCTTTTTGAGAGGAAATCCAGGGAAACACCTTTGCTCACCCATTACATACATACTGTATGCAAAGATCCTCCTTCTTCCCAGTCTTCTGGCGTCTGACTTGTAGAAATCCTTGAAGGCGTCCCCAAGTCAATTAGATGTTCAGGAAGTAAGGCTAGATGGTGGTGCTTCTCCTTGGACACGTTCTTGTACCCCCTGTGCCCAGGATTTGATGATGGCACTGTAAGATACACACCGGACTGCTAGCTTCAAGGTGGGCAGTTCAAACTCACTAGTCACTCCTCAGGAGAAAGATGAGGCTTTCTACTTCCACAGAGATTTACAGCCTTGAAGGTCTTGTACAGGGTCGCTATGAGTCAGAATCGACTCTATGGTAGTGAGTTTGGTTTTTTGGAAGCATTTTGGTTGTATCAGCTGCTTGGGGGCAGGGAAGCTGTTATTAATATCTAGTAAGGAGCTCTGGTAGCGTAGTGGTTACGAATTGGGCTGCGAACCTTAAGGCCAGCAGTTCGAAACTACCAGCTGCTCCGCGGGAGAAAGATGAGGCGTTCTGCTCCCGTAAAGGTTTATAGCCTCGGAAACCCTGTACAGGGTAGCTATGGGTCGGAACCGACTCTACGGCACTTAGCAACAACTTAGCAAGGTTGATGCCAGAGATACTGCTAAACATTCTACAGTGCACAGAGCAGTTCTTTACAACAAAGGGATTTGTTGTTGTTAAGTACCGTGGAGTCGGTTCTGACTCACAGTGACCCTGCACAGGGTTTCCGAGGCTCCAAATCTTAACAGGAGCAGAAAGCCTCATCTTTCTCCTGCCGAAGAGCTGGTAGTCCACTGAACAGCTGGTAGTTTCGAACTCCTGACCTTGAGGTTAGCAGCCCGATTCATAACCACTAAGCTACCAGAGCTCCAAAGAGATATCAGCTGTAAAATGCCAATAGTGCCTGAGGTAAGAAACCCTGTTGTTTGATGATGAGGCTGTTCAGTTCTTAGATGAACACTGATTTTATGGTTATCTAAATTGGTATTAAATAGGAGCACACTTATTTTGAAATTCATTTATTTCTGGTCCTTTTTTTTTATGTAATTAGTTGAATCAAATGCTGAGATGGTCAGGAGTCAGCCACATGGAAGGTGAAGAGCTCTGGGCAAGGATCCTGGAGTCCCTTCTTTGTCACATCACCTCTCTTACTCTCAGTTGTTCAATTGAAAATTAAGTACTTGGAGAACTCGGTGATATACAGGACAAATTTTATTTAGCTTTTTCTTGTTCTCTTTTCAAACTTAAATGATTATCAGAAAAACAAGAATAGAGATACGGTATAAATATTATATTGAATATATGAGAAGCACCTGTAAAACTCTACCTCTGTTGAAGGATTGTATAACCAATTTTGATGACATGGTGGTGGTGGTTATGTGCCTTGGAGTGTGTTCCGAGGCTGTAAATCTTTACGGGAGCAGAAAGCCTCATCTTTCTCCCACGGAACAGTCAGTAGATTCCAACTGCTGACCTGCGGTTAGCAGTTCAGCTCATAATCCACTCTGCTACCAGAGCTCCTTTGATCACATAGATCAAAATAGACCGCTTCTTTGATTTGCTTGTTATTAATTGTGACCTCACAACTGTTCACTCTGACCTTAAACCAAGAGTCGAGTTAAAGAGTTTAAGCATTGTCTTGTAGGGACACTGCAAGGAATGGCAAAATGCCCAGTTTTCCTTTGCTGTGAATCTGTTCTCTTGTGATTTCAGGTGGGAAGCAGACAACAGGATTTCAATAATATTCTAAGAAGTAAACATCCTGTTTCAGGGCAGATGTCTTCAGTTGTGTAGCTCTGGGGGTAGGGGTAGGGAATTTTTGGTTTAACCAAAATTTGATTTTTGGTTTAACCATGAACAGAAAAATGCCCAAATATTGTTTGGCTTTCTCACTTTTGCTGTAAAGCATAGGATGAGCCTTGTTTTTTATACATCTTCCTAAGTACTAAGTTGTCTTTTCTGTATTTCTAAATATGGACCTAGCCCACCTTTCATACCATAATAGTTTAAAGAAGGAAAATGTGGGAATAAAGATGAAACATTCAAGATAAAAGATTGGTTTCTGGCATCTTGGATCATAATTGTCTAGTGTTCTTCATGAATTTGCAAAAGAAATCAAGATTCGCAGTGACTCCCACCTGCGGAGTGCTTGTAATTCCTGCCCCGAGTATGTCCAGTTCAGGCCTTGTGCAATTTGGGAAACTTAAGTTAATCTGGCTGAAGCAAGA